AACTGACCGAAGAACAGATTGCTGGTAAGTTGGCGATTCTGAGGAGTCCCCAGAAGGCCAGAACTAGGCACTGACTCAGTTTTAGTGATTCCTGTCCCCTCCCCCCACAAATGGAGCAGTTTTGCAAGAATTTATTTAAATGAAAACAATAAGCAGAAACTTTTATGTCAGGTGTTAATAACTCCTTGCAAGTATTTTGGAGATAATTTGGAAGGAAGTGGAACTAAGAGGGCCCACTTGTTAACACTCTGGATTATTTGACTGCTTCATAGTGTGCAAAGCTTTGCATATAATGAGTTTGCACTGAGCCTGCTATTCAGAAATTTAGTTTACAAATTTTATGCCTCGGGTCTTTTAGTAATTCACCATGAAAGCTTGTGCTTTTTGTTCTAAAATAAATGGGAATGGGTGAAACTGAGTGTTAGCACTGTAATAATTGGGAAAGAAGTTAACATTAGTTTAGATTTTAGCTTTTTAATATTCTCTGAAAGACTTGTTTTGAGAAGGTTTATTTTTAGGAAACAAGGAATGCTTCTGAAATATTCTCAGTGTTGTGTAGAGAGAATATGCTGGTTACCTGGGAATGTGACCTTTCTATGTTGTTGGGAAACAAGGGGTTCTATGGTTGCAGAAATTTACCAGGAAGGGACTTTAAAGGAACAGGTGGACCAATCTTCTTGTGTCAGATTGGACTTAGGACTAATTTAAGTGTGTTCAAACTTCACCTTCTTTAAAAATGTGAGAATATTGTAGTTTATGGAACCAGTTACCAGGAGCAATGTTTGCTTTTTGGGCTGCTGTGTGAAGGCCAGTCCCACAGGACTGTTGTGGTCTTTATTTTAGTAGATAAAGACCAGGCAGTTTCTGATAACTTGCACAGCTTGGACGACTTGCTTTGGCAAGCCCTGGGGAAGTGTGTATTGTGTCTGGATTGGGTAAAGACATTCATTCTAAAGGGTAAACTTTTGTTTTCAGAATTCAAGGAAGCTTTCTCCCTATTTGATAAGGATGGTGATGGCACCATCACAACAAAGGAACTTGGAACTGTCATGAGGTCACTGGGTCAGAACCCAACAGAAGCTGAATTGCAGGATATGATCAACGAAGTGGACGCTGATGGTAAGGGCTTCAGAACCACGAATGAGCACCAGTGTTGTGTATTTCAAGTTCAGACATGTTACAAGATTATCTTTCAGGTCCCCAGAGCAAAGCAAATATGCAAAGATCCTTTCTGTGGTTGCCTTACTGCTCTTGACAATTATAATAGAAGATAATGGGCCTGACATTCACCCTGCTCATTGTCTAGAACATTTCCTGGATCAGATCGCTGTATTGTTCTTTTCTGCTTGCTGTGACCTGCAGCTCAAATCATCTATCAACTGGCTGGTGAATCTGCACTGAGTCCTGGGGGAAGTAAAAATAAATAGCCATAGAACCTGCTTTTTAAAAAGTTTATTGACACTAAGAGGAGAAACCCTCAAGTGCAGTGGTTGAAAAGCACTGTAGAGCTGAATACAGTGTGAGCTGTAAATGTGTTTGCTGTGAGGCTTGAACTTGGGCTGCCAGATGACTGCAGGGAGTCAGTCTACAGAACCTGACAGAAGGAGAAGTTGTGTATAGTGCAGAGCCAGAAGGAACCAGCAGTAACCCCCATAACAGTTGGTTACCCATTCCTCTAGACTCAACAACAGTGGGCAATAGATTTTTTATGCTCACTTCCATCAGTAAACAGTTTTTTAGGTACCCCCCCAATGTATTTTTGTGAATCATATATGCACTACATAACATTATAGAACGTGATACATTTTTAAAAGATGAGCTAAGAATAGACAATTTGGATTTAGACTTTACTTTCTAGATGACTAACGTGATAGTAGCCGTTTAAGAAAATATGATACCATAAGGTGATGTAGAATTACAACTTGTCTGGTCACAAACATTTAGAAGCAGAGCTTTTGGTTAAGCTCTTTGATAAAGTTTTCATCCCATTAGAGTTACTTCTAAAGATTGTTTTCATCTTTAATATTATGGAAAAAGAGGTTGTTCATAGTTCTCTCTAATTTGACTGCTAAGATGATCAGCTATCTGGGAACATGGGGTGGCTCCCTCTTGTTTTGTGTAAACCCTGGGAAACCTGGCTTGGGGACAGGAGAAGTGTATTAGGCCCACAGGTGGTATGGAGTGAAGGACAATAAATTGTGCCAGGCAACAGAATCCTGTATTTGCACTGAATAAATATTATGATGCCTAAGGACATCTTCTCTGCATGGTTGAGATAGCATTTCCAATTATTTACTTTACCTTGAACAGATATCAATAATGCTGTAAAATTTTGGAGGCCAAAAAGACTTGAAAGGATCTCTGAGTTATTATTTTGTCTTAATTATTTACTTATTTGGTGGTTGGCTGGTATGGGGATCTGAACCTTGGTGTTATAAAGCTGTGCCAACCAATTGAGCTAACCAGTCAGCCTCTTAATTTTGTTTTAAAGACACTGGTGAAATGAAAAACTTAACCTAATATTTTTCTTCTAATTTTATTTTATTTCTGTTTAATTCAAGTAACACTGTTACTTTGAAGGCTTGTCTTTGGAGGGGTATTCATCGGTCTCTTAGTTTTAGAGGAGTTTGGAGTACTGGCTGTAGAGTGGATTCTTTTGACACACTTTCCTAAATGTTAATGGTCTGAGCTGTGAAGATGCTTCTGAGCTTTTCCCTTAATGAGAAATAAAGATACTGAGTTGGGGAGAAAATAATAGGTGACTTATGTGACCGAGAAGTACCCTTGGAAGAGACTTTAAAACTCTATGGCCCTTGGCATAACAAAGTCAACTCCACCCCTCCCCCGCATAATGTTTTTCTCCCCTAATATATTTGCACTCTTAACTTGCAGCCCAGGGCCGGCCCGTGGCTCACTCGGGAGAGTGCGGTGCTGATAACACCAAGGCCCCGGGTTTGGATCCCATATAGGGATGGCCGGTTCGCTCAATGGCTGAGCGTGGTGCTGACAACACCAAGTCAAGGGTTAAGATTCCCTTACCGGTCATTTAAAAAAAAAATAAAATAAAATAAATAACTTGCAGCCCAATTGTAGGCCTTCTTAACATTACTAACGTCACTAGCCATGGCAGAGTTAGACCTGAGTGATTTCCCTAACTTGGGAAAGGCAGTCACCAGTGTTTCCTTCCGCTGAGAGTGGAAAGATTCAGCCTGCAGTGTTGTGTGCTCCTTTTCTCTTGAACTGTACAGCCCGTCAGTGGTCTTGAATCCAGATGTGCGGTTTCCTTTGCATGGTTAAATGCTATCCTGAGCATTGAGTAGTAGTATGAATCTTGTGAAATTAATTGCTCTACGAAGTATTTGAACATTTTAGGCCTACGAATGGTTGAATCTGATAAAATAGTTTGCCAATTGGTCTTAGCAAGTGCTTACCATCCTGTAAAGTGGTTCTGAAACTATTACTGCAGAACAGCATTAATGAAATGCTTGTTTTACGTGAGCTCTTTATTTTTTAATTTGAGGTAATGGCACCATTGACTTCCCAGAATTTTTGACTATGATGGCTAGAAAAATGAAAGATACGGATAGTGAAGAAGAAATTCGTGAGGCATTCCGAGTCTTTGACAAGGTAATCCTGCATCTACATAGCAGATGGTACTTAAGTATGGCTTTTTTTTACTATCACTTTTAAGAGTTGTAACTATCTATTAGAGGTAGAACATTTAACCTAACTGCCTGAGCCTCTTATCTTTTAAATATTCTGACTTACTGTAATAACCTTATCAGGTGAAGGTAGACATAATAATAGAAAATTTTGAGCCAAGTTTCTTGATTTTACTTTCAATTTCTGTTAGCTTTTGAAAATCCTTATGTTTTTTGCATCAGCAGACTGTTTTAAGTAGGTGGAGGTGGGTACTGGAGATTATAGAATTGTTGATGTGATAAGCACAGTTGGCAGTCATTTGAGAGGGATTAAGTCAGAAACTGCTTGCCCACACCAAGCAACTATCAGCCACTATCGGTAACAGTCACTGAATGTTCGCAGGATGGCAATGGTTACATCAGTGCGGCAGAACTACGTCACGTCATGACAAACTTAGGAGAAAAACTAACAGATGAAGAAGTAGATGAAATGATCAGAGAAGCAGATATTGATGGAGACGGACAAGTCAACTATGAAGGTAAAACAGTAAATTTCTTTAGCTTAGTTTTTAATCATCTTACCTTTAGGATCTGTAAACAAGTTAACTTGCTTCACTAGACATTCATGGATTTTATTTTATACAGAGTAGAGATGTTGTGTTTATTAAAGCTGCTGTTGAAGATAACCAAAAGTTATGATTATTTGTCTTTTCAGAATTCGTACAGATGATGACTGCAAAATGAAGACCTACTTTCAACTCCTTTTTTCCCCCCTCTAGAAGAATCAAATTGAATCTTTTACTTACCTCTTGAAAACAAAAAAAAAAAAAGTTCATTTATTCATTCTGTTTCTATATAGCAAAACTGAATGTCAAAAGTACCTTCTGTCCACACACACACACAAAATCTGCATGTATTGGTTGGTGGTCCTGTCCCCTAAAGATCAAGCTACATACACATCAGTTTTACAATATAAGTACTTGTACTACCTTATTGATAAGGAAGCACTTAGTGGGCTCCTTAAAGTTCCATTTGCTAACAATTAATACACTGTTTGGGCTGGCCAGTTTTTCATGCATGCAGCTTGACGATTGAGCACAGTCAGGCATTTGTATTAAAAATGAAAAATGAAAAAAACAAATTCAAAACCTATTCAAATGGGTTCTAGTTCAATTTGTTAGTATAAATTGTCATAGCTGGTTTACTGAAAACACATTTAAAATTGGTTTACCTCAGGATGATGTGCAGAAAAATGGGTGATGGATGAACTATTGAGATCTAGCCCCACCGGTAGGATGGTCCTCTTGTACCCCATGTGCTCTGACCCATGGTGACGATGACACACCCTGGTGGCATGCCTGCATATGTTTAGCATCTGCATTGTACTAGAGTGAAACAGGTGTCAGGCTGTCACCCTTCACACAAATTTTTAATAGGAAACTTTTACCAGGGGAGCATCTTTGGACTCTCTGTTTTTAAAACCTTCTGCACCATGACTTGGAGGCAGCAGAGTAGGCTGTGGCTGTGGACTTCAGCACAACCAACAACATTGCTGTTCAAGAAATTACCATTTACGTCCATTCCAAGTTGTAAATGCTAGTTTTTTTTTTTTCCAATAAAAAGACCATTAACTTAAAGTGGTGTTAAATGCTTTGTAAAGCTGAGATCTAAATGGGGACAAGGCACTTGGAGGGGAGACCAGTGTACATTTAAACGCCCACAGCCCAGCATTGGGTTTCTCTTCCTTCCAAGATCCCAGCACCAATCTCTGAGCCTAAGACCTTGCCTAAAAACAAGCAGATACCGATTGCTTCATCATATTTGTGGACATGTAGATTTAGTTGTATTTTCATTGGCGGGAGGGGGGAGGCGAATCATGGTAACGTTTAATGATCTATTCAGGCAGTAGAGCTCTTCATGAAGGAAAAAAACCACTTTCTCAAGCATGTATTTAGGGGTTCTTCTCAATTGTGCTGCTGATTACCTGTTTTATGTAACTACTCGAGACCATCTGTGCAAGAGACATGATTTAGTGTGTCTGTAATTCAATCCTCGCTGTGTGTGGTAGAAGCAGTAGTCACTTTTCTAAGCCAGTCTCATGCCTAAAAGACACTACCAGTCATCTTTGATTTGTGACTTAATTTATGATTATGCTTAACTACTTTAGCCTCCTTTTACTTTTTTTTTTTTTTTAAGTTGACTTTGCTTTTTTCCTCCAAGTGGAATTAATGCTAGCCTCTGGCTTGAAAGTAAAACTCCGGTCCAAAGTGAATTTTGTGTCTAATTATAAACCTGCAACCAAAACTCAAGACATGCTGGTACTGGTCTTTGTAGTGAGATTGATCCATTTAAAAAGCCCCTTAAAATAGCATATTGCATTTAGTGCAGAGCTCTTTTTTGAAATGAAGGCTGGATGTGCATTTTTCAGGGCCTTACCTTATTAGCAAGGAGATTTGGGTTTTGAGCATTGGTGTGGGTGGTTTTAATGTGCCAGGGAATGGTGGCAAGCTGCTAGCAAGGCAGCAAGAAGCTCTTGGCAGCCAAATGGGTACATTCAGGACTGATTTTATAGAGACCCTTGGCTTCTCCCTCTCCTACTCCCGTCTTTCTGGCATTTTGTAGCTTGTTAGATTTTCTGCCAGAGGGGTAGGTCTGAGCAGTGGAGAGGAGATTCCCCGCCCATGTGCTTCTGCTACTAGTCCTTGGACTTGGGTGGTTGGTAGAAGAGAGGTTGACGCCATGCACTAATGGTTGGCTTTCATAATTCCCTGAACCTGAAAGGAACACCTAAGAATACCTCGAGGTTTCTTCTGGTGAGATAAGGGGTACAGAGGGCTCTTGGGTTGAATAAATTAATGATCTGGAGGTTGCTTGTAGGAGGATTAAATAGCCTGGATGTTGTTGACCCAGTCTCAGGCCTGTCTTGGTAGTTTCAAAGGTAGCTGGGGGATGGGGAGGGGTTGGACGGTGATTTGACTTGTTTTTAAAAACAGCCTTTTATTGTAATCTTTTACTAAGTCTTTCTAGAAGCTGAGTGAACTTTATTTTAGGGGTTCCACAGCCTGTTCGAAAAGACTACTTTCGAAACAGGGTTCTTGTGCAGTCAGGATCCTGTATGGGAACCAGAAACCCTACCCCCCAGGGAATGCTGAGTTCCAGTTTGGAGCACAGGTGAGGCAGAATCCACTGTAGCCTTTTCCCTGGCATTTGGGGGGATGACCAGCCCAGGGGTTGGGTGTTAGCAGTCTGCCTAAGTCTGTGAGGAAATAGCTGGGTGCCATGGCGTACTCTTAGAGTTGATTAGCACCTTTCTGTAAACTCATCCCGTACTTCTTCCTACTCTATAAATATATACATATATTTATATATATAAAGTGACTAGTTTAACTGGCATCCTACTTTAGCCTGAGACTTGCCATAAGAAACTGCTGAGTATGTGGCAAACCCTTTCATGGTTTTGTCCTCCATCTGTTAGGGGTAGGTGTTGAGCAAGGCAGTGGGTCTTGTTATTTCAGATGGGCTTTTGATGCATTGTTACCAAGGAAGGCTTTTTCTGATTTTTTGACAAATTTTTTGCACACTTTTAATTGGTCTTGCAGCAACTTAAAACACATTGAAAATGAACTATTGTACATATTTTTATATTCTCTTTATAAATGCATGTCTGATTGTACTTGGAACAATGTTATAATGAATGGCTGGTTGTCCAGTAGGCCTGGTGCTGCTGTGTGACATCAGAGGAATAACATATTCTTAGCCCCTCAGCACACTGGGAACTTACTCCTGAACAAAGAATGTAAATTTGGTCAAGTCTACTCTTCGTTCATTCAGTTATTTTAAACATTTGAATTATTTATTGTATATCCTAAATATATTTATCCTTTTGGCAGTGACTAGATTTCCACGAATGTGTCTTAATCTATCCCTTAAGCTGGCAGTTACTATTTTCTTTTTTTAATCCCTTGAAGTTGTCCTGTAGGAGACAGAAATTCTTTGCTATCTGTATCCCTTGGAGTAAGAAGGTAGTGGCATGGGTGGAGTGTGTATTCTTTCTCCAAATCTTATAATGTTCATTAAACACTTCTGTAGCTAAGATGGTGGTAATTCTTTTGTTACCAGAATTGCCCTTTGCCATGGCTATTTGAAAAGGAGATGTACTTGAACGTTTCTGTAAATCTTGAGATAAACTGTTTGGAGATTTAACCACCTCTCTGATGGGGGACCAACTCTATGGAAATTGTAAATAAGTTTTATTTATAAACCTGGCACTGTATTCAATAAACATTTCTGCAGCCTTTCATCTCTAACTGTGAACTGTGTAGGTTCTTAGTTTGCATAGCTTTCTATCCTTGTTGCTTTCAGAACAAGATACACCTAACCTCTCACGTAATTCCACCTGAGCTCTGGCACAGCAGGTGAGAGTGAAGGGCCAGAAATACCACAGACACATCCTAGGACGGCCTCACTCTAGTTTTAAGTAAATAGTTTGGGTGTTCGTAGCTGACATTTTAGGCCACTCTCTTGGCCTTTTTGATGTGTCCATGCTTGATTTATGCAGAAAATTTATACCCTAAGATTAATTTCCCTTTAACGTCAGTGTTAATCTAAGTTTCTTCAAGACATATAAAGAAGTACGTTTAAAAAATAAGATGGGAATTTTAAGTGATATCACATACATGTCAAGAGCAGGCAGCTGAGGCAAGGGGGGGAGGGTGCAACTTCATTCAGAACCTCAGCGTTGAAACCTTCCCCTTAATCAGTGCTGTCCCAGACCCTGTTCTTAGACAAGGCTTTCTAGCAAGAAAGGCTACCTCCTTGCATCCCCTCTGCTTCCAGAAGGATCTTTTCCAGGCTGCCTCACCTGTGTCCTTTCCCACTCTGCACAGAAGCAGTGAGAGGGCTGAAAAGGGAACAGTAACAGGGTAAGCCCCTGCTTTGGCTCAGCCCATCTCCAGGGAACGTTCCTGCATACAGGAGCTGGGACTGCAAGGGTATGGATACCACCATTGGGACAGAGCCATCTTCTCCAAGACTTTAGGCCTGGCTTCCAACTTTGGTTCTTTCCCTCTGTAGCCTTAGCAGCAGGTTCTTTACCTTCTCTGAGCCTCAGTTTCCTCCTTGGTTAAACAAGATGATTGGCTTTCTAGGATTCTGACCAACCTTGTTTGGCATCACTTGGTGTTTAAATTGATTGAAGATCACAGCCTAAAGGGTGGAAGGCAAAATCATCCAGGAGTGCTGTGTCCTTTGAGATAACAAATCAAATTTAAAAATTCTCAGCAGCTCCATGTTGGGGTGGAGTGGAGGTTAATCTTGCTAGTAAGACCGTGATGTAATATTGGAACCTGGGTGAGAGAAACTGACGATTGACTCCCATTGTCCTCCCAGGACGGAAACAGGAAGCTTCAGTCCCAGTGACAATGTCATCTGGGTTTTCGGTCACTCTGGTTTAGGAAAACACATTTCCGATTTGAGCTGAACTTTCCCGGGCACTGGGGGGCTGGAGCAGCCAGTGACTCAGCATGCCTTAGAAGGACATAAAACATAATGCTTTTTATAGCTTGGTGCCTCTCCTCTCCCACTGCCCTCAACCCTCTGCCAGGGCATAGGAGGAGTTAGCTCAGGCTCAACAGTGCACGTTCGAGCTGACCCAAGGCTGCTGAGCTGGCCACCTTTCTATCATCGATGATCCCTGAACCCAGGTTTAAAAAAGTGCCATTTCCATTTTAAGAATTATGTATGTTCAGTCTGTGTCAAAAACCTTTGGAATGAGTGTGAACTGACACATTCAGATAGTATTTCAAATATCACATTTTAAAGTTTTATTTTCACTTTTATAAAGACAGAAGGGAAAATCTGGAGTCTCCTCTAGTAAGGTAATTTCTTGAAATTTTGTTGCAGTATAATCTTTTGATTCTGGCTGCATATAGCATGTACAGTTTGCTTTTAAGCTAATTTTCTGAGTCCTAGCATGGTTGTGTGCTTTTTTGTTGTTGATGTTACTGCATTTTATAGTAAAAGGTAGATTTTTTTTTTCCCACACACAGAGTAATATCAGAATCAAGATTTGAGAGGAGATAGTTTTTAAAAAAAAAAGAAAATAAGTAAAAAAAGTAATTGTAAAATGATATTTTAGTTAAAAGGACTAGATATATTGTAGGTCAGACTCTGAATGCAAGTCTCCATATCTGACAACTCAAACTTTTTGGAATACTTTCAATGACAAGAAGCTCCTTAACAGGCAGCCCATTCTCATTTTTATAGAAGTATTTTTTTTTTTATTCTAAAGGATGCTGTTTATAAGATTTGTACTATCAAATGACCCACTACCCTATACATTATATTTAACACTTTGTATCTCCCTCTGGAGCTTTTTCTCACCATATGGATGTAGAGACAGTTCACAACACTGGGGTCTTAGTATACATATAGATTTTTTAAAAATTAAGCATAATATTCTTTAGTATATACAATTATATATTGTGTATGTACATATATGTTAGAATCTTTTTATTCCTTATACCTTTTTTCCTTGAGAAATAATTCATGTACCATAAAATTTACCCTTTTAAAGTATACAATTCAGTGACTTTCAGTATATTCACAAGGTTGTGCAACCATCACCACTACCTAATTTTAGGACATTTTTGTCAGCCCCAAAAGGGTGACAAAATGTACCCATTGGCAGTCACTCCCCATCTCCCTTCCTGCCCCTCCCCCCAATTCCCTGGTGAGTACTAACCTACTTTCTGTCTCCATGGGTATGCCTATTCTGGACATATATAAGTGAAATCATGTATTCATAATTTTTTATCCTCTTGTTTTCACTTTTTATACTCAACATGTTTCTCCATCTACTTAAATTCTTGAATATATTTTTGGGAGTTGGCTGTATTAATATGGCATGATTTAGTTAACCACCAATACCTTAGTAAAGGCCATTAGCACGTTCCCTTTTGAGCGGTTCTCACTGTGAGCACATTCTTACTAGGTTGAAGTCTGCTTCCTTTCAGCTTCCGCCCGTTGTTTTGACTGCAGCCCGGTGGAGCTAACACTGGACATCTGATCCCCCTTCCTCAAAGCAGACCTTGGTCTTTCTTACTTTCATTCACCCTTACTTAAGCCTTCAGGCTTAACATTTGCTCTTCCCTCTTTTTTTTCAACCACTCTTTGTAGTGAAATTTACCCAGATTCTGTACTCAAACAGGTCTGCATTCAATCCCACCTTTGAAAGTGGTATGACGTTTGGCAAGTGACAACTCTGTGTCTTCCTCCAAGATATGGGAAAACACCTTCCTAACAAGGTGGTTGAAAGAGCAAACGAGGTAATGGAAATCCTCTAGCATAGTGGGTAACACGTAGAAGCCACTTGGAAATGCTTTTTTCTCATTTTATACAATATGGATTCCATAACCACGAAGAAAATGAGGCTGGTTTTACAGTTCCTTTGGTTTGTTGTACTCAGTTCATGCTGGTTCTTGGGGATTGCCACTCCTTTTCTTTGTTAAAAGCACACAAACCTTCCGTTTAAGCATTCACTTGTTATCCCTCTGGAAATCATTACAGTTGCCAACGTCTAGTCTTCTGGTACCTGCTCCTCAGAGCTTACGGACCCTCAACCGAGCCAGGCCTGACAGCGTCTGCTGCTCTTCTTTGGCGTGTCCACATGGGAGCATCTGTGGCATGTCTGGGTACATGCAAGCTTGGTAATCTCTGGAGAGTGATGGAGGCCCATCTGGTTAAAGGTCAATCTCCTTAATAGAAGCACTTGACCAAACATGGGAGAAGTCTGTGGTTAGGCCCTCTCTTAATTCTCTGTTAACCTTCTGTCCCTGGGCCTGCCTCTTCCTGCTTCTCTTCCGGGACTCCTTTGGTTCCATCAGGGTTCTGACAAGCTCTTCAGAGATGCTCACTTCTCCTCATACAGAAGCCCTTCTCTCTAGTATGGGTGGATCTGGCCCAAACTTTTCTAACACCATGGGAAGTGAAGCCATCTGGTCACCTCTTACCCTCTCTCTTCTCTGCCGAAGTCTTGATCTTCAACAGGAAGACATGGTACAAGACCTCTCAACTTCCAAGACCTCCTGATTCCAACTCAACATCAGAAACACCTCCCCAAATCTCAGAAGTTTGACTCAATGTTTGGCTAATTCTGAGCATGCTCTCTAAGCTTCTGGAAGGGAACTCAGAGTCTGGATGCAGCTGTTCAAATAGGGTAAATCCTTTAACTCGGCCTTGAAAATAACTGCCCAACCTTCCCACTCAGGCTGCCACCTGTAAACAGGAAGGATTTCAGAATGTACTTCTCTTGCTCTTTGTTTCCTGCTGAGGGAGGAGGAAAGAGATTAAAAAGTGACAGCATTGTATTCTGATTAGTTGTTCTCAGTTTTGATGTCTACAAAGTCCAGAATTAGAGAATTTCAGAATATTGGAAAACATGGTCTCTACCTTTTGAAGAGCTTTTGCAGACTTTTTTGTAGAAACAACTTTATTAAATACAACTGCCAAGCAGCATGCCAGTGAATAATGTATGCCAACTTAAATACAAATGAACAGATGCAGACATAGCATAAAAATCGATAAAGCAAGAATAGACAGTTGTAAGAAAAACACATCCATCATCATAGAGATTTTAATATACTTCTCCCAGTGATTGAGAAACCTGGCAGACAACACAAGATTTGAACCACATAATTAACAAGTTTGAGCTTGTGTATATGTAGAACTTTACATCTAGCAATGAGAGAATCCACATTAGAGACATTAATAAAATATTAGCACCGTTATTAACCATAAATTAATAAACAATATAACTATTATGATTATAAACACAAATATATAATTATATAAAAATTAATGATATTAATAAAACTAACTAATGAATATTAAGATATTAGAGAATTACGACTGACTCAGTATTAGATCATAAGGTAAATCTCAACAAATTTTTTAAAAAAATTCTATCATATTGGCCATGTTATCTGACAGCAATGCAATAAGTAGAAAATCATTCCAAAAATACAGTGTTAAAAATACCTATTTGTTTTGAAAATTAAAGTTTGCTTCTAATAACACATGGGTCTAAAAAGAAAACATAATGAACATTTATAAAATGTTTAGAGCTGAATGAAAAAATTCTACATTTCAAAACTAAGATACAGCTTAAATAGTACTTAGAAATTTATAGCCTTAAAATGCATAATGGAAAAAAAGAAAGGTTAAAAATAAATAAGCTGAACATCCAGCTTAAGCTAGCAAAAGAGTAAAATAAGCCCAAAGGAAGTAGAATGGAAGTATCAAAGGTAAC